GTCACACCACCTGTGGAGTTCTGTTTGGTCTACCAGGGACCAACACCAGAACCTGGCCCCCCTCACAGAGGCACAGACAACAGGTGACACTCTGCCAACCCACCAGGAAAGCATTCAGAAAGTCAGGAAATTAATACAGACCACTGCTGGATTCAAACAGACTGAACCCTCAAAATTGCCATATGAACACCTTCCCAACAATGTAAACAAATGATCAAATGTCTTAAAACAAGCTCAATCTCATCAGCACTTGTCCTACCAGTTAGGAGAGGGTTGCCAGAACAGAATGTGCTCTGTCTGGTAGAAAGCCACTACCAGACACAGTACATGATGCACTCTCAGTTGAACCAACAACCTAAGCCACCGAATGGGGTATCCGAGAGGAAGGAAGCCTCTGGAAGGATTCATCCAACTGTCGACCCAATGGACCCAGAAATGAACCGAGGTGAGCTGCATTAGGATCAAAATCATACAAGGAGGGGGTAAGAAAACCCCTCCCCTTGACGCAAAAGACCCTCATCCGATGGGATGAAGGACCAGATGAGGATTCAAAGGAACCCAAAGCCCCCTATCCGACTCCACCAAGCCCCAGACAACAAACACAGACTCTAAGGCTGAGCCAGAGTCTATGCCCACCACCCAAGATAGGGAAGTGGAGTCCAAAGAACAGGCTTCAGAGGAAGGGGTTGGTTGCAAGATGAAAATTGCAAAACCTCAGCAGGCAGCTCAACTGTCCAGGCCCAAGGGGAAAGGAGCCACCCCAAGAGATGGCTAAGCTACATCTCGATCTAACTCCTGCCCCGACAACGAAACCCGCAGATGTTTCAAAGCCAGAAGCAGGAAGAACAGAAGCCAGGTGAACCACACGTGAAGAGGAAGTAAGAGGAGATACAGATTGAACCATGGTGGAATTCACCAATATCTACAATTCTGGCTCCCTAAAAACAAGATGGGCTAAGGACAAGACATCCAACTGGGTACACAGCCACGACCACTGAAGGTGGGCAAAACCAACCCATATATTCCTAGCTGCTTGATAAGCTCAAACTTTAATACAACAGCAAGTGTCACTGAAAATGATTCACCATGTATCATTAACATATACAGCAGCCAGTGGACACTTTAGATGGCCACCATGTTTCACCTACACATACAGCAGCCAGTGGAGACTGAAGATGACCTACTCATGTTTGCCGTGCATGTATCATCACTTTCTACTGCCTCCTCCTCCAGTAATTAGAGTTCTTCACTCTTCAAATATACCCAATTTTAAAACTTTCTTTTTCTTCTTTACAATACGTGCAGTTTGTATGAAGGTATATCCTCCCGATGACTGCACAAGTGGGAATGTAGGAAGATTCAGAAACTACAATGCACAGCAACACATCAATAGTCACAACGTGCCCGTGTGGGGAAGATAACGACGCCGTCAAGGTGGGCTAGGATAAAGGCAAAATAAACAAAATGAAAGGGACGCAGGATGGGTGTAAAGAGAACAGAAGGCGAACGCAAAGCGTAAGGAGGCAAGTGCAAAGCAGACATGAGAAAGGAAGGGAGGTGCGAGCAGAGGAAGGTACAAGGAGGGAAGGTGCAGAAGATCAGAAGAAGTCAAGACAGGACAGGCGAGGGTAGGACAGGACAAGGTACGTAGATGGCATCCGGGCCTCACGACTCGAACGCAAGCACATCGCACTCCACAGAAGTGCCAGCAGGACAACAGGAGGAAGACTTAGGAAGGGCACGAGGACAAGTCCTGGAGAACGCGAAGTTGGGGGCCCATCAGGTAAGGTGGCAGGGAGCTTGAAAATCAGGACGACGGAGGATCGCTTCCGCTTAGTACCGAGGGCAGAGATGTGCGGCAAGGCAGTCTGGGGAGAGACACAGGGAAGGCTCACCAAAGAATTCCTTAGGGCGTTGTCCAGCATCGATTCAAACACATTGGAGATAGCAGAGGCAGCTGCGGGAAGATAGATGTCAACCGTAGAAGCGGAGGAGGTGTGCGACGGTTCAGCCTCTGGAACGGGAAGGACGGACTGAGGGAAGAATTTAGTAACGAGGGGGACCAGCACCGTCTCGAGTACATCCACAACGCAAGTGACAATATCGTCAACAAACTCGGGACTCAGTTGAATGGTGGGAGGGTGAGAAGAGGCCTCAGGGGCGAGAGGAACATCAGCGACAAGCAGGTCAGGCGCAGGCAAGGGCAGTGGCGGAGTGGGAAGCGGCGGGTGACAAGGAACTGGGGCAAGGCAAGGCAAGGCACGAATGGAAGACGAGGCAACGACAGGAAGAGCCTTAGTGAGTGCCGCAACATAGGAAGGACACTACTTGAAAAGTGATGGCATAATCACCACCACAGTTGGAGCAACAGAGCTTGTCGGACTCACAGTCACTAGTGAAATGGGAACCAGAGCATTTGCCACAACAGACGTCACTAGTGCAGCCATGGGAGGTATGGTGAAAACCCTTGCATCGAAAGCACTGAGTGGGACAGAGGACGTACACCTCCAGGAAGCCATTAATCCAAACCCGATCAGGGGGAAGGGAGTCAAGAAAAGTAAGGAGGGCAGTGCCGGTGTCACACAGGTCCCCATCAATCCTATGCATAAATTTCTTGACACTAAAGATAGGAAGGTCAGCATCTTGCAGTTGTGCCTTGATGTCGTCCGCACTATCGTCAACAACATGCCGGACCACATATCATACCAAACAGTCACCCAACGGCCCTTGTAACCACAGATATCAGTAACATCCGAAAGCTCCAAGTCCCCAGAGGAGGCGTGGTCCACCACAATTAAGTTCCTGCATTTCTTCAGCCAGAAATCGTGCACCTTGATCTGAAAGAACTCGGGAACGGCTTGATAGAAAAGACTGCGTGCCCTACTATTTCCAAAAACAATCTGATCAGCGGGCGTATCGGCATCAAAGGCAATGATAAACGTACGTAGGCCAGGAGAACTTGTCTGATTGTGAGGGAGTGGAGAGCGCGGAGACAGAGGTTGTGGGGGGGGGGGGGGGGTGTCACAGGGTACAGCAGGACGCAGGCGACGTTTCGCCTCCAATCTATTAGCCTTACTATGATGTCTACTGTCCAAAAAAACACCTTCGGGATCCCACTCCAAGACCGGAGAACGTTGTGACCGGAATGAATGCCAAGGGACAATGGATCCTGAAATCCCTCAAAGGGATCTTAAATGTCCACGGGAGAAATGCTGCGCGCAGCACCATCTGTCACCATGGTCAGCCGGCAAGTCACCTTTAAAACTTTAAACAAAACAACTCAGTTATTCAAGGTCAATAAAATAGTGTTTCTTTTAGCATTTGTCTAAAAAATATTGGTTTTATATGTTGATTTTTGGGTGTCAGGAAATGCATCACCCATTTAGAGTATTGCACCTGCAGTAATGGTAAATCTGCTTTAGTCTTCCAAATCACCGACTTAACAAACGCCTTCTTTTGAAACACATCCCATTTGTAAGTTAGGGACTCCTTATACATTACTGTATGATCTCAGAAATCTTCATTACTAAAGCCACACATATTAAAACTACAAAACTGGTTTGCCCCCAATCTCCTGTCTGTGTCATATCTAATTCAAGTTTCTGGAAATGTAGAGTGGTTTAGGTAACAGCATTGGTGTGAGGTGCCAAGTGGTGCTTTTTCAGAAACAAGATGGTCAGAGGTTAGGTATTTGTCTTTACTTTTTGTAACCAAATATGAATGCAACATTATGAAGGGCAGTGAAAACAGGAGAGGTCAGAGAAGTGAAATGTTTGGCAGTATTTTGCAATAGGAGAGATAATAGTACAAGAAGTAAGACAAACTACAATGGAAACAGGTGATAACTTTCATAAGATGGGTGTGATGGAATATACGTCCAAGGATATGTATAGAAGTTACAGCAGCTGTCAATTCTTTTTAACCTCAGGAGTAAGACTGATGACAGAAACAAGTTATTGACACGATAGCAAACAAATCCCACTGATGTAACATGTTGCATTATAGAAAAGTTTGGTGAAAATATTTTAGATATAGCATATGGAAATAGTGGTAGATAAGAGGATTGTAAGCATTTATAGAAGACTAATTCATGGAAATTAAGATATAAACCTGAGCTACAAAAGTTTTAAATGACAATATGGAAGAGTAGCTATGAGGTAACTTAAGAGGTGGCAACAAATTATGAGATGTGTTTAAAGAGGATTATCTTGAAGCTTATTTCCCAGGGCCACCTTTCTAATGAAAGTGAATACAAGGTATACTGCATACAAAATATTTAGGAAAAAATTAAGAATGTGAAGAAAACACAATAATAGAATATAAGGCCTACGGAGATATTAAGGCCCTTTTGAAGGTCTATTTATATGAGGAAACTTCTCCTGTTTCGTTGCGCTTCATAAGGATCCTCCTACATAAAATCAAGTTCTGCTGTTTCATTTACTATTGATATCAATATGTAATACAAGCACACACACAAACACACACACACACACCAAACTCAGATGTACTTTTTCTACCAGTACTCTTCATCTTTACATGTCCCTAACAGTTAACACACTATTTAATTCCTGAAGAATTTCTTTATTGTACTCTGCACATGATTTCTCAGTGCACACACTAACCACTGGCCAAAAGATGACTCCCAACTCTCCCTTTACCCTGCGCAACCACCCACTGCCGCCCATGTCACAAGAAGTGGCTTTGTCATCACACCTAGAAACCATTAGTCACGACCTAACAAGTCTCACGAGCCACACCCATGCCTTAAATTACTGATGCCTTAAATAAATAGAAACTCTCATCACTGGCTCGGAATCAAGCTATCTCCATTGCTAACTGAGGTGTGTAGAAGTGGTGCACAAGCTTCAGACAGCTAAGGTCTTCTGCCCCTTCATAAGGAATCCTTTCTTTGTAATGAGAGGATCTTAACTGTCAGTGCCAACTACATTAACAAACACACAAATTACAATAATGCTTTGTTGATGACTGAGACTACATCATAGTTAAAAAAATTTATAACAATATTTACATATTCATAATATGTCATTTGCTTAACTTAAGATTAAAACACTGGATTTAAATATAACCCGTCAACGCCTCCGAGTCCCGAGTAAACTGACAACGTCTTAGCTTCACAGGAAATATTTCGGCACTCCATATTTTTGTAATGTCTCAAATTCACAAGAACCATGTTGGTACCATAGATTTGCATGAAAAATGTAAGTGCCTTTAATCAAATGAGACCTATCATACCTCAACACCAACATACTAGTTTATTATTGGTGATGCCGCTGCTGTAAGTGTTGGTGAGAATTCTGCTGCTGCTGTAGGGAACTTGTGTGGTGTTGGTGGTAATGAAGGAGATGTGGTAAATGATGGTGATAATTTGTTCCTTTATGAAGTGGAAGAGGCTCGTGTGAACTATGCAAACTGGTGGTCATATTAGTGTGTGTTGTGGATACTGGTGTTGGCGTAGCAGTTGGGGATGATTGCTGGCTCACCACCTGCTTTTGAAGTGATAATGGCTCAGGCATTTCCTGAAATCAGAGAAATATATATAAAAAATCCTGAAGTCATTTATCAACATGAATAGTCATATACAGAAAAAACCATCATTATATATAATGAAAACCCATCTTTGTGGCTGGGCCTCAGTAGCTACCTGAAGCTGAGGTAGCTCCACACAGATGAGTCACATCAGCATTAACACTTTCGCTGCCTGATGCTAAAATATGCGGCATCAAACAAAAACACGCAGAGCGCCTGAAGACGCAAACGGCGCCATTAATTTACAATTTTTTTAAAATGAAACCTACAGTCCGAATAATATGGGATTTGTTTTAAAACGCACGCCGTCCTCTTCCAATTCTCTGTATACCCCAGGTGACTCGACCTCGCCATGTGGGCGACCACCCACGCTGGAGGCTTACTGTTCTCGTGACCACACTCGTGACAGCTGCGGCCTCCCCTCGAGTCAAAAAGTTTCCCCATTCTGGTTATTTTATCTTGGGTGTTTGTTATTACCGGTTTTATAAATGCTGCATATTGATTTCAAGATGAATAGTGATCAAGAACAGAGCCAATCCATGATGAAAGCAGTGAAAGAAACACGTACGAAGCAAAAGTTATTGAGTGTTCGTTGAAAGTACAGTATAAAAAAGTGAGACTTATATGTTCTTATATGCAACTAACCCTTTACAGCATTCTATTGCAAACAATTTGTTACCAAATTGAACGACACAGCACGAAAATTGAGGTGAGAAACCTGAAAAAAATATAAACATTGGAGTGAGTTTATGTGCTCACGGACAATGCTCGGCTGACCTTGCAGTGTGCGGAGGGTGGTCCGCTGGGCCAATGAAAGTGATTTATTAAGAGTCCTGAATGGTCTACCAGGAACCAGAGCCAAAACCAGGCCCCTCACAGAGCCAAAACCAGGCCCCTCACAGAGCCATAGGGAGCAGGGGTTTGCTACAATCACCCCTCACTAAGGAATCACCCAGGAAGAAAGCAAAGCAATACAGGTTCACAGAAAAAAACAACATTGAATGTAATGAAATGCCATTTTCTGGGTGAGACCCAGAGGCTCCCGGGAGCTATACTGGGCTGATGTGTATATATTAGACCATGGCAACAGTCAATTGAAGGAGTTCTAGGCCTACCGAGGACCAGAGCCAGAACCTGGCCCCCCCTCAAGAGAGGCACGAGGAGCAATGTCCTAAAGAAGCCCTCGTGTAATTGGAAGCAGTCTTTGTCTGCCATCTACCAGGTCAAGCACCCAGAAAGGTAGGAATTCCAAAACAATCTACTGCTGGTCAAAAATTGCAAACTGAAAGCTGAACTAGCAAGCAGAACTCCCCAACCAAAAACAGGGAAAATAGCATGAAGTCAATACAACCACCGTGCATTCATCTGCCCCCCCCCCCTCCCCAGGAGGGGGACTGGTGGGGGGGGGTTCCCAGACCTCCCCCACCAGCTACTCTCCTCAGTTCAGAGGCTGAATATCAAAAACACACACAAAAAAAGCCGACTGGAGGGAAGGAGGGATGCAGAGGAGCCTCCGGGCCCTCACCCAGAAAAATGGCGGTGCATTACATTCAACGCTGGTTTTCTGTGAAGAGCCCCTTCTGCTCCCCAGAGCTACCTAACCAAAGATAAAGAAGAAAAGGGACTTACCCGGGAGGCAGCCATCACTCGCCCCTAAACTTGAAGTTGAGGCAACTGGTTGCAACCTGCGACCCAAGGCTACACATGCCTGAGAAAGGCCAGGAACATTAACGAGGTACTGTGCGGCCAGGACCCTGTTCAAGCTCGAAAAATCCCGTGACCAATTGTCAGTCCAGGAAATATTACCAAAAACAGCAGCCAAACTCGCGAACTTACAAACATGGTGGGCACGGGGATAGACCGCAGGCTGGCTAGACCAAATAATCCTGTGAACGATCTGAGAGACTCACACCCTGGAACAGGGAAGAAGGGAAACCGGGTCCACCCAAAGCACATCCCCTGCCATAGAGACCGTGGCGGGCAAATAACGGCGAAAACCAGCAACCGGACACAAAACATGATGCACCCCCCCGGCCGAACCAACCAAGCATCAACAACCCAAAAACCCTTTTAGAAAGCAGCAAACTCATTCTTCGCCAGAATTGAAGGAGACGGCTGCAAACGAACAAAACGACCACCAGGACCAATAGAGCAGAAACCCGTGCCGGAGGAGAGCATGAAGCTTGCCGACCCAACCCCCCAGAGGCAAATGCCAACAAGAAAGGAGCCTTAGAAAACAGTTCTGAACCGAGGGGGCCATCACAAACCGAGGGGGCCATCACAAACCGAGAAGAGAGAAAAGAGAGCACCCGTTCCAACGACCAGGACAGCTCAGATGGCGCATGAGCAGGCTGGAGGTGACAATGCCAGAGAAAGCTTGCGGAATGGAGCAGAAGTGACATCCACCCCAAATACAAGCTGCAGCGGCTCCGCCAGCGCCGCACGATACGAGACAACAGTATTTGGCATAAGATGACGGTCCTGAAACAACCAAGAGAAAAAGGACAAAACAACCCAATCAGAAATCGTAGACAACCTACGAAGAGACAAAAAGTTCCGAGAAGACCGCCAGGAAATTTCATACTGCCGTCGCGACAAAACTCACAGGTGGGACACCATCAACGAAGCCACCTGATCGCCATACAAGTAGTGATTAACCCGCGTCAAAAAGACCGGATGCGAAGAGTGGAAAAGATCAAACCAGCCACGTACTGGACCGGATCGATTTGCTGAAAGAGATGGAGCTGCGGGAAAACCCTCGAGTTTGGACATCGAGTAAGAAGTGCCTGAAACCAGGCCTGGGCCGGCCACCAAGGAGCCAACAGAACTACTCTCCCCTGGTAAGTCTCCAAACGAGCCAGGATCCGGAGCCACAACTAAACCTGTGGGAAGAGATAAAGGTAACCCCACCTCGACCAGTTCTGCCGAAAGGAATCTACTCCGATGGCCTCACCAGTCTGGGAAGGGGTGCCACATACACTGGAAGACACCTCGACCGCGACGTTGTGAAGAGATCCACCTCCGGGCGCCCGTTCGTCCAGCAGAGCCAACTGAACAAGTCGGCGTCAACCATCCATTCCGTGGATAGGAGAATGAACCGAGACAAACGTCCGCCAGAACGTTTGACACCCCCTGAACATGAACCACCAGGAGAGTCAAACCCGGAGAACTAAGCAGACGAGTCACCCGAAGCGACCATCCCCAAAGAGCCAAGGACCACATCGAACCCCTACGGTTGGGACAATGAACCACAGGGGGGCAGTCTGAATGGAGCTGGATCGTTGCTCCACGAGTGACACATACCCTCTGAAGCGAATGCCACACCGCCACAAACTCCCGCGCCGTGCTGTGAGCCCGACGGAAGGACGGACTCAACCGACCCTAGCGAGCACTGGTCACAAAACACCAGCCAAGAGATGAGGCATCCGTGAACACATCAAGCGAGGGCTCGAGGAGGCCAAGACACAGAACCCCGAAAAACCCACAGAGGAAACCAGCGACGCAGCAGTCGACGCAAGGCTGACGGAATCTGAACCCAATGATCACGAGAGCGACGGAAGGGACGTCCCTGAAGAAACCAGAACAGCCTCCAAAGCCAGATCTGACCCGACGGGTAGACCAGCACGGCAAAGTTCAGGCTCCCACACAGCCGCTCAAACAACTGGCGTGTGACCCGGGTGCTCTCCAAAAACAGTCGTAAGTGGGACTGCAGCCGCAACAACGCCATAGGAGGAAGAGACAAGGAAACGGTCCGAGAGTCCCATACAAGACCCAGCCAAGTCCAAACCTGAGAGGAAACCAAATGGGACTTCCTCCAGTTCACCAAGAACCTGAACCTGGCGAGCTGGGAAAGAAGCAAATGCCTGGCGAGCAGACATTCGGATTGGCTGGGAGCCCACACTAGCCAATCGTCGAGGTAAGCTAGAACCTGAACCCCTAACATACGCAAACGAGTCACCATGACCCGGGTAAGGTGTGTGAACACGCGATGTGCCAGAGTCAAACCGAATGGAAGGCAACAAAAGCGGTAAGCCTGTTACTCCACGACAAAACCGAGCCAGTCCCTGAACCATGGATGAATCGAGATGTGCCAATACGCGTCCCGGAGGTTCAGACACCTTCCAGGCACCCAGCGCCAAAAGCAGCCGGACCTGAGACAGAGTGGTTATCTGAAAGGAGGGGCAAAAGACCATGGGGTTCAGATGGGACAGGTCCAGTATGAATCGCAGATCCGCACAGTCCTGTTTCAGAACTGAAAACAGGCGGAAGACCCACCTGAGGGATGCTGTCGTTTCGACCATGCCCAAGCGAACCCACTCCACTCCAGGATGACTCGACAGAGCACAGGGGATGAGACCTGCCCTGCCAGCCCCAATTCCCCCCAAGGGAAAGGAACGACCCAACCCCACCACAGGCCAGAGGAAACGACCCAAAATGCCTATGAATCATGGAACCAGGCGAGAGCAAACAGCGCGAGCCTCCCCAACTATCGCCCCATCAACAAAGTGAACCGCGAAAGGGCCGACAACCCCTACGAGAGCCCGACCGACGCTCAGAGCGATCACTGCGCCGACCAGACGCCAACGGCTCCGCAGGAGGAGCCGGTCTCGAATGTGGCACTACTGGCTTATGACGACCGAAGGAACCCTGAGACCTGACACGACCCTTCCGGGCAGGACCACCACGGCTACCCTGGAGAACCAACAAGTCTGACATAGGCTGGCAACTTGACGAAGCCAAGCCGATTCCAGAGTGGACGAGCACTGCCTGTCGGCATGCGAGGCGAGAAGCAAAAAACACACACACTGCCTCCTTCAGAATTGGCGCAAACAACTTCAACAAGGCAGCCGATGCCCGAGCTGCCGAAGAAAACACACCGGCCACTGGCTTGCAACCCAGCTCCTCCACATCCTCCCTAAGCCAGTCCGAAGACAGCTCCAGCAGGGAAAAGAAGCACAAGATCGACTCCAAATGCCCACGGGTGTACAAA